CGAGGCCGGGGAGGAGGCCGCCCGCCCGCGCGGCCCTGTGTCAGGCCCAGGAGGAGGCCACCCGCCCGCGAGGCCCTGTGTCAGGCCGAGGCCAGGGAGGAGGCCGGGCCACGGGCTCCCGAGCACACAGGAGACTGTCTCCAGAACCCAGGAGAGGCCCAGCGCCTGCGCGGGCCTGACACAGCCCCGCACTTTCTTGAGGTCTCCAGAGCTAATGACTGCGGGCATAGGGCTAGCCTATGAGTGTAGCTGACTTTCAGCCTGGCAAGCACCTGCTTGTCCCTCAAGACCCTCTCTAGAGGGCCCTCCTCCAGAAGGCCCCATGGTGATCACCCCAAGGTGTTCTGAGCTCCCCCAGTCTGGATCCAGGTCTGGCCGGCCCTGATTCACAAACAGGGCCTCTGGGATCCATCCCCCATCCATGGCTTCTGTGCCTGCTCTCTGCCTCTGCTGCTGCCTAGAAACTTCCACACCATATCCTACCCTGGCCTCCTTCTCACTCTAAACAACAGGCGTTGCCTCCCCCATGCCCTTTCTCCAGCCTTCACCAAATCTCTTAAAGCAGACAAAACCCTAAGCTCCGGCGTGTGACTGTGTAGCCTGAGAAAGTGTCTTGGCCTCTCTGGGCCAGGCTGTGCGCCCAGAGTCGGGTGGTGGTACTGCAGCAGGCGCAGAAAGGTTAAGTGTGAAGAGCCCTCGGGCTGGCAGCCGCTTCCACACAAATGCTCCTGACTGCCAAGCAAACCAAAGCACGGGTCGCTCCGCTCCCCAGCTCTTCCTTATAAGGGATCTCAGGCTATTTGGGGTACCTCCCGGCAGAGGGGTGAGTCTGGGCCATTGGGGCAGAGAGAAAGACCCAGGACAGCACTTTGGTTCTAAACCAGGGCCAGCCAGGGGCGGAGGGGCCCGCGGAGACCCATAATGCACACACGCAGGCTGGGGTCTAGCCAGGCACCCCAGTGAAAAAAACGCAGACCCTGGCCTCCCGCCCAGGCTTGCTGGGGGAGCGGGCAAGGCGGGGCGCACAGGGGAGGGTGCTGGAGGCTGGCGCGGGCAGCTGGACGCCAGGGGCCACCCCAGGAAGCAGCAGCCGAATCACCGGTTCCAAGGGACGTCCGCCCAGGACCTGCCCAGCCTGCAGCGTGATGCCCCCCCCCCCAGGACCTTTCTCGCTTGCTCGCTTTCGTTGTTTTGTGTGGGGTATGCACTCGCGGTTATATGCTAGGTGCTCTACCGTTTGAGCCACACCTCCAGCTCTTTTGCCTTCCTTTCAGAAAGCCTGTTCTACTTTCTGCCTGGACCATGAAGCACCATGCCCAGTTCCTGGTGGACGTGGGCTCGGCCTGACCACGCTCCCCGCGCTGGGCTGGAATCACGATGCCTCTGGTCTCAGCCTTGATTTGAGGAAGACCAGGGTACGCAGCACGGGACGGCCTCGGCCTCCCAATCCTGATCTGAGGCTTGAGAGCCAACCGCTTTTAGCACCTACGTAGCTTTCTGCCAGCAGGCAGTGCAGAGCTAGGTGGCCTGCGGGCGGGGTGGGTGCTGGGCTCAGTGATCAGGCAGGCCCAGCTGGGGAGTGCTGGCTCCCAGCACCCAGGCGCCTGGCTGCGGTGATGGGGGAGCTGGAGGACCTCACATTTGTCCCCGAATATCTGACTCATGGCGTGGGGAGCCTCTGTGGGAGTGCAGGGCTGGGGCAGGGGTGGGCCTTGCTCCCCACGGCCAGTGGGGGGTGCTGGCGGGAAGCAGTGGGGGCTGTGAAGCCCAGCCAGGCCCAGGACCCTCGCCTGGGACTGAAACACTCCTGGGCCAGGAGCTGCTGGGGTTGGGGGTGTTGGGGGTGTGGCCGGCCGGGCTCAGGTGAGGGGTGTTCGGGGTGCCCCCAGCCCCGGAGCCCTCCACAGCTGGGCCCCGGTGTGGGGCGGGCTGGACAGGGGCACCATCCACACCATGGGCCTGGAGGTTTGAGCCGTGCATGCCATGCGTGTGCACAGGTGGGCCGCGGATGTGCGCATGTGCGCCGGCCTGCCGGCCAAGGCCATGCGGCAGGCCGCGAGCCAGTTCCTGCTAAATTAGAAACAGCTTTCCCCAGCTTCGCATTTATGGTGCAAAAAAATCATTTTCCTCCCTTCCGGGGCTGGGGTGGGGGCGCGGGAGGGGCCAGGCCCCAGAGAACATTCCAGCGTCAGGGCTGGCCGCCCTCCCCGCACCCCTGCCAGCTCGCTGGGGACAAGATGTTCCGAGGTGTGAGCTGACGGCCACGCCCCGGCCGGCCAGGTGGGGGGGCCAGGCTCTGCACGCGGGCAGCGGCCTGCAGAACCCCGTGGCCACGTGGGTGGCAGGGCTCTGGACACTGCACCCCAGGGCTGGGGTCTGAGCAGGAAGAGGCAGAGCCCAGACTCACGGTGGACTTGTGTGCGCACACGCGTGCGCACACACAGAGCCAGCAGGCCCCAGGCAGTGCCCCCTTGAGGCTGAGGGCCGGCAGGCCCACGCAGACACTGACTACCCTGGCCGGTGCCCCAGCCTGCGTGTCCATGTCAGATCTTTATTCAGGAGAGGGGCGGGACGGGGGTAGGGTCACCGGGCGGCAGACGGGGCGCGGACGCTGCCTCTGTGGTATGCTCGCAGTGCAGGAAACACTGGGTCCCCAGAAGGACAAATGTCACTTAGAAGACACAGTCCTGTGGGCTTGCTCCAGAAAGAAAAAGGACAAGAAAATGAGGCTGAGGCTGAGGCAGCAAAGCAAATATGGCCCAAAGCCCTGAGCAGCCCACGGGGGTGCTGGGAGGGGGGCTCATGCGGGGCGCGGGGTCCAGGTGGGACTGCGTGGTGGTAATCCTGGCCCGGGCCTGCAGGAGGCGTCCGGGCATCCATGCTCAGCGGGCGGCAGACCCTGGGAGCAGCGGGAGGAGGGGAGGGGTGGGTGCAGAGCGGGGGCCGGGGACGGGGCTGTGAGCAGAGGGGGGTCAGGCCCCTAGGGCCACGGAGGATGGCGGTGCACCCCACTCTGGGCGCAGCGTGACGAGGTCCTGCCTGAGTGTCGAGCAGGGCTGATGGGGTGGGGTAGCGAGCATTCAGGACGGCCCCGTGTCCTGAGCTGGGGGCCTGCTGCCGGGCCCAGCCAGGCCGCGCCCCCGGCTGCAGCAGTCTGCAGGGCCGGGCCTGGGGAGCGGTGCCACGGGGGCCGGCCCGGCCCGGCCCGGGGCTACCTCCTGGTCCCAGCCCGGGGCAGCAGGACAGGAGCACAGGCGATGCCCGCGAAGGACTCTGGGAAGTGTAGGTCTCGCTCCCACTCGTCCGTTTCCGTGTTGTACACCTGTACCACGCCCGTCACGTTATTGAGGCGCCAGTTGTAGCCCCCCACGATGTAGATCTTCCGGTCCAGCAGGCAGCAGCCAGCCTCCGACTGGCCGGCCCGCATGGGCGCCACGCTGGTCCACTGGTCGGCCTCGGGCACGTAGTACTCCACGGCCAGCACGTCGAAGCAGCGGTCCACGTGGTCCATGCGGCCGCCCAGGGCGTAGATGCGGCCGCCGGCGCCCACCATGGCGTGCAGCACGCGGGGCTCGCTCATGGGGGCCCGGAACTCCCACTGGTCGGCCGTGGGGTCGTAGCAGTGCAGGGCCTTCTTGTCCTCCACCGACACGCCGTAGCCCCCCGAGATGTACAGGCGGCCCCCCGAGGCGGCGCCCGCGTGGCCCCAGGTGCGGCGCTTCAGCGAGCAGGCGTAGTCCCAGGCGTCCCGCCGGGGGCAGTAGCGCTCCACGGATGCCAGGCTGCCTGCACGGTTGCGGCCGCCCGTGGCGTATACCAGGCCGCCCAGCACAGTCAGCTGGAACTGGATGCGGCTCTCCTGCATGGCCTGCAGCCGCAGCCAGCGGTTCCGGTGCGGGTCGTAGCGGTAGCACGCGTCCACCGCGCCCTCCCCGCTGCGGTACTGCAGCTGCTGGCCGCCGGCCACGTACACGAAGTTGTCGAGCACGGCCACGCACGAGTGGCTGCAGCCCACCTCCATCTCGGTGAGCTCGCGGAAGTGCCGGGCGCCCGGCTCGGGGAGCTGGAACACCTTGCTGCTGACAGCGCGGTCGCTGTCGGTGTAGGGCGTGCCGCCGAAGGCCACCAGCGAGGGCGCGTCGCAGCGCAGGGCCGTGCGGGGAGACTGCAGCTCGTGCTGGCGCAGCGGCAGCACCTGGTAGCTGAAGGCCTCTAGCAGGTACTGGCGGCACAGCACGTCCTCCAGCATGACGTCCAGCGTCTGCACGCTGTCCACCAG